CCCCCCCCCCCCCCCTTCACCTCCTGGACTACTACCACCGCTAAGACCATCGCTCGAAAGGAATTGCAACTCAGGAGGTTGTCTCAATTTATCCGTTTTTAGAATAAAGTCCTCCAAACTCTACGATTTCTATTTAGTATCCCACACCTGATACCATGTTATGTTTGTACATCCGTATGTCTAACATTTATTATACTAACACTAATGTGAGTATACAGCAACTCTTATATAGCTAAGTTTATACATAAATTAACATATAAAACAATAATACAACAGTCATGACATTACACACCAAAACAATCGTATATTTACTCACCGCTTGGCCGAACATTTTGTATTTCACATCGAGAAAAAACTTGAATATCTTCTAAACTCTTCAGATTTGCCCAAGTCAATAGGAGTGAAACACTCCTTGTATTCAAGCGCTTTCGTGTAGAAAGTTTCGTTTGAATACGGGGACTAGAAATATTTGTTTTGAATTTTTCAAAATATCGGGTTTAAGGAGCACCTGTAGCCGGTCGGCGTTAGATCATATAGCGTTAACGTACAGTGACGTCAAAATTCTTAAGACCGCAAGTTGCTAGGATTTAGAATTTTTTCCAAAATGACGTCAGAGGTTTCATATTATCGCGCGAAGTTAATCACGCTACAGGGGTAATTTACTAATGACCTTTAGTCTTTTAGAATCGATTTCTCTCGATTTCCGACGTTTCCCGAGTGCTAGGCTTAGTAGGCTGTATTAAACGGTAGTCAATTTATCCCGGGCGTTCTGTGACCCCCGTCCGCGATAATATCAGATCATGTCAGCGGCATCTAGTAAATTACTTAAATAACATCGCCCGAAGTTTAGCCTGAACACAGACCTTCGCTTTGCTCGCCTTAAAATTCGCGGGTGGGAGGTCGAAGGTCTTACTCAAAATTCCAAAGGAATTTTACAACTTTAGGAAGTGGAAATATTTCCAGATACATGGGCCATCATTCCAATTCCGTATTTACCATCTAAGAACAAATATGACTGGTTTATACTATAGTTTATTTTGTCTAAAAATACATTCTCATGTACATGCAAATTAATACATCCTCTGAGAAAATTCACAAACTAACTTCTCTGAAATTTGAGGTTCTTAACGTGGCTAGAAAAACAATAAATGCCATACCATCACAATATTTTATATTAACTGTGAGCGGATTGTTTTATTTATACATGTGACCACTATATATTTAGATTTTCTGCATTTGTATTTTAGCGAGTGCTGGTGGCATGTGTGTCTAGGGCGTTGCGTGCCATCTAACATGCTGCTAATTGGTGGTTCGATCCCGCCGATAGTCAATGTTTTGTTTTTCGTTCTCGACAGCACGTGGCGACTACTGTTCCAGTAGATACCAAAAATGACTCTACTCGAGTCAACAGCGCCAAATGACTCGACTCGGACTCGACTTGCTGATTTTCGCCGTAAATGACTATAGAGTCAACTCAGCTGCAACATGTACAGAATAAATTCATCAAAATTATTGTGATTGTATTGTATTGTATTGTTTGGAAGAACAATGAACCCGCCAGTGAGAAAGAGCTAAATTAGTTAAGGTCACTATTGTTCACAGGACGACGAGGTTCAGTCATATTCAGTGCATGCTATGAAGACAGAAATACCACCATTCGATTCAGAAATAAAAGATCAACTAATTTCAAACGATATAGTTATAGCCATTATTAACATTGTAGCGATTTATAGGCCTTTTAAGTCAAATGCGATCGTATACTATCAAATTATGCAATTGTCTGAACAAAAATATAGACTAGCCATGTCTTTCGCCGAAAATAACTTCGGCCCATTCGAACATATCGTCTTTGTTAAGGCCGTTTTCTACTTCAAGCGTATTGTACCGTAACGTATCAAAAACGTTTTTAAATCTCAAAATTTCGAGAATGTTGATTGGTTAGTACTTCCGTAGTACGCCAAAAAGTTGACTTGCGACGAACTTTTTATTCTGATACGTGAATACACCCGGAAGTACGTGGTTTTATAAACCTCTTTTCAATCTGCGCATGCTCACCAGTACGTTTCGCTACGATACGGGCGAAGTGGAAAACCGGCTTTGGGGACCGGTCATTAGAGAGTTTAAGTTCGACTTTCGAAAAAGCTAAGTGAGATGGAAAGGAAGGGTCTTGAACACGGCCTAAAATTTGCGGTTGTAGCTAACAGAATTCCAACAGCCGAAATTATTGTTTCAGTTGAAGAAGGAATCTTTCCACTAGACGATGATACTAAACGCTTGGTAAGAGCTGAGGTCAGTAGCATTCTTAGAGTGCTAAAATACCTCCCTAAAACATTGATTCGAATGTTTTCAAAGCTTTACTTGCTCTTAAAAAAGATCCGGACAGGGTTATTCTTTCAGCGGGCAAAGGCAATTGTGTTGTTGTTATGGACAAACATGATTATCGCGAGAAGGCTCTTTCACTGTTGAATGACAGAAATACGTGTTCTATTCTCAAGTCTGATCCTACTGGAAAGACTCAAAGAGGTTTAAACGCCAAGTTACTTCTTTTGAGGAAATCCAATGTTATCAGCAAGGCTACATATGAAAAGTTGTACAGCAGTGATGGACTATCTCCGCGTTTCTATGGTTTACCGACAATCCATAAACCGGAAATTCCATTGAGACCTATTGTGTCCTTTGTGAATTCTCCTACATATGGAGTTTCAAGTTTTTTGGCGAAAATTTTGTCCCCTGTGGTGGGAAATACCGAAAACACTGTCAAAAATTCTTGTCATAA